TTAGTTAACAGGTTAATAATCACTAAACACCAAACTCACTGGCAACAGATAATAGAATACAGACTAAGCAAGTTTATGCTAAGGAGACCAAATCTACACATATTTGCTGAAGAGCGTCTGACCAACTCCTAAAAGGGCATGCGACTTTGATTTATGAACATAGTTTTTATTGTTTAGTCATTTTTTTTTCTATTGTATACTACTAGTTTACACTCAACATGGACATACAATTCGAGTACACCCATTTTTGCTTTATTTTTTATAAATCTCGTCTATTATATTCGAACAAAAGATACTATAATTATATGGACTGTGGAATCTAATATTTATTAGTACCTAAACAAATTAAAAATAATAATTTTGCAGAAGTGTAAATGTGGCGTATATTATTAAAAAGTAAAATGTTAATAACACATTGTTACAAAATTTCAGTTGTACATTTTTGTAATTTTTCCTTTATATTTCAATACGGTATTTTATTATTGGTATCTTCGGCTTCGATAACTTAATAATGTAGGTTATGGAGTACTAGTCAGTGACGCATCCAGAGTTTAAGTATGGGTGAGGTAGTGGTAATATTAAGACTTTATTTCTAATAATAATAAATATATATTACCTATAAAAAGTTAGGTTCAAAAATTCTTGTATATGTATGTATACGCGCTCCTGGTACTAATTCTAAAAGGCACGCGCAAAATTAATGTATTAAAATATTTTTCAAAACAAAATGACTTGTGTTTTGTCATGATGTCAAGAATTAATAACAAGTTATAAAAGTAATTTTAAAACACCGACATTAAAATCATGCAGATGCCACCATCACATCTTGACCAAATTTATAGGGGACAACCCCTCAGGTACCCCCCTTAATAACTAAAAAGAATCATAGAAATCGGATGAGGTGGTAAAGAATTACCTCTAAACGTTCATAAAAAAAATAAGAGTTTGAGGGTTTCCTAATGGATCCAATTATTATATTTTGACTATATTTATATGGGACCACCCTTGAAGTACCTTGCTTTTAACAAAAAAAAAATAGTCATTGAAATCCTGGAAACAGGGACCTCCCGTACAGGCTGAACTCGTCTGATACACAGACGGTTTAAAAACCAAGGAAGGAGCCGGTGCTGGAATCTATGGACCCAAGTCGAAATCGATTCCGCTGAGTTTAAGAAAATACGCAACAGTGTTCCAGGCTGAGCTAATAGCCATACAACACTGTGCAAGAGAAATATTAAATCAGCAAGTATCAGGCAAAACTATTGCCATATACTCTGATAGCCAAGCAGCTCTAAAGGCAATTTTCTCCCCAGAAATCAAATCAAGACTGGTGAAAGACTGTCTAGAAGACCTGACAGAGCTAAGTAGTCAAAATTAGGTGACCTTAGCCTGGGTTATAGGCCATGAGGGATATCAGGGCAACGAAAAGGTCGACGAATTAGCCCGAGAAGGCTCAGATAAGGCCATGACATAAAATAGTCTCAGGAATAGTGGAACAACTATCCAAGACTAAGACAGACCAAACAGTTCATCAAGGAACCATCGGACAAGTTCACGAAAGACCTACTGGATCAAAAGCGTCAAATCGTTAGGATAAGAGTAGGCCTTCTTACTGGACACTGTCGCTTCAAAAGGCACATGAGTGTTATAAATCCAGCAGAAGAAGCAACTTTGTGCAGGTTCTGTAAAGAAGAAGAGGAAACATCATTCCACGCCTGTGCCAATGCGAAGGCCTGGCTGGAATGAGGTTTCTAACATTGGGCGAAGAAAAGCCAATTGCATGCAACTACATGCAGGAGCCACTGTCAAAGCTACTAAGTCTAATAAAAAAGACCAGGCTAGACGACATACTCTAAAACAAACGGAGTCTTACAATAGATCTAAAAAGGTCGCGGTGGACAAGGACAAATAAAGTCCAACTCCTTATCTAATCTAATCTACTAGGATAGAGTGATAAAGTGATAGAGAATTAGTCTTTGGTAAGCAGAATTTAAAACATTTTACTCTAGTTAACAGAGATTGCATTATTTTGCCACCATTGTATATATTTTTTTATTTGATGATTGTTACTAGTCATTATTGACTAACTTACAAGTTTAATCTAAAAATCTTATGAACTAATTACTTATCTAAGAAGTTCCCATTGGGATGTCTTAAATGTTTCTATAGAAAAGCATCACAAGTTGGCATGGGGATTCATTACACTGTTTTACACTAACATAGAACATTAAAGTTAACACATTAACATAAACGTTTACTGCGCCAGCTCAAATTGATTCTTCTTTTTGAGTGTAGAGTTGTCCAGTAATTATAGCGCTTCTTCGTTGACGTGGAAGTAAAGTCGACCCTCATATTTCGCAGCAAACATCTTTGCTTCTTCTTTGACTGTTGGCGTCTTCAGGTCTCTATGAAGAAAATCGGTTTATTACAACCTTGTATTATATTGACATTACTCTTGCTGGCATATCCCCATAGCTATACGTCATAAATCCAGATTGGTTTTACAATTTGTTTATTAATCAGCAGTTTGTTGTACACTGATATCTTGGATTTTCTTGTTAGGAGCCAATACATTTATTTAAATTAAGGTTGACGTTATTAACGCTTTTCGTATGTGCTCTTTCCATTTAAGTCATAAATATAGGTTTATCCCTGAGTATTTGGCCGAATATGTTGCGGAATAACATTGTTTATTCTAATTTGTTTTTGTTAATTTGGTCGAAGAGTAAAATCAACATAAACTGATTTAGTTTGATTTATTTTTACTTTTCACTTTTTTGTCCACCGATTAATTCTGTTAAAGGTTTCCTGGAGTTTTTCTGATATTAGTTTTTGCCAATATTGCAGTGGCATCCGCAAATGCTGTTATTTTCACACATTGTTGTTGAGGGATATCGTTGGTGTATAATAAGTAAAGAACCGGTCCTAGCACATTGCCTTGTGGGACGCCCGCTTTTATTTCTTTCATTTCGGAGCATGCCTCCTCTTGCCTTACTCTAAACATTTTTTCCGTCAGATATAATCGAAAAATGTTTACATATTATCTAGGGAGCATTTTTTTAAAATTTTGTTCTTTTCATTGCTTCAGACAGTTCTTTTTGACAAGGAGACGATGTTAGAATTGCGGTTTTGCTTCTTTTTTTTTGTAAGCGTTTAACAATGGTCTTTAATTTTTGTATTGGCATAAAAATTGCAGAGAAAGAACTGGAAAACTGGAGGTGTTAGATGTTTTTATTGGCGCATTAGGAGGGTCAGGCATCTAGTAACATTGGGGTAAAGAATTATTTTGAGTTTAGGTTCTATTTTTTATAGTGACTTTGGAAGATAAGGTCGAGGAATCCTTATTTTCCGAAGTTTCATCAACTGTAGGACCAGCTTGTGGTTTAGAATCATTATCGGCTTGCGTTTCAGGCTGAGACCGGTTTTTACTACAGTATTTTGAATATTAGTTGTTTTGGCTGGTAAAAAAATCATCATCAGTGAAGATATCCTCATTTATTGGCCAAATCCCCATTTTCCCGAATCGTTTTAGGGCAGTTTTCATGTTTGCACTATTAAAAAATATTTTCCTAAATAAGGCTGATATTTGGAATAAAGTAATGATTTTACCTGAGTTTGACAGTCACCCATCCTGAATCATTAACCTCAGCCCAACCACCAGGCGGTAAACTTAATAGAAATTCTTGTTGTTTTTCGGAGGAAAATCAACATTGAAGGCATGAAATTCCCCGCAGCAGAACAACAAATTTCGACCGTTACTGTATTTCCACGCTTGGCAGAAGTCAATAGGCCAACTTGACGTTGTACTGTATTTGCAATAGTTCTTGAATGTTGCTTTGAAATTTCTGTAATACCGGTATCGTCGTAATTCTTTTCTCAGTAATCTACCTTTTTACAATAACTTGATTTAGCAATGTTAAAACTGTGCGACTGCTACTCTGTTGAACCACATTGCATGCGCTCCTGAAGTTGCTTCGGGGTTTCTCAAGCTTAACTCTGGATGGCGCCTCATGAAACCTTGTGCTGTGACATTTCTGGCTTGTTATTAAATGGATGTCTTTAACCATTTCGGGTTGCTAGTTCATAGGCTAACCTTCTCAGTCTTTAATTGTTAAAACAAACAGTCTCTTTTGCATATCCTTTAAATACAAAACGAGTTCTAACTCTTGATTTTTAGTAAAAACACATTGCTATTTACCAGTTGTTTTGTCAATTGTCAACCACATAATTTGGACCATCCTTGCGCTTTTTCACTTATCTTTCTAATGTAGTTTGCGGAAGTTCAAACTGGTCTGACGCTTTTTTGTAGCCCATTACGACTCTGGTAACCTCATTTACTACTAGTTCTATAGATTTAGTACTGCACTGCTGACAAAAACTGACATTTAGATTGTTAAATATAGTCGGGGTAAAATGGGGAATGCTCCAGCTCACCCCACCCAATTTTTTACCTCAGATGCTTTTAATAACAAAACATAACCTTTTACCAGACTTCTTTACCAATATCTTAAAGAATCTATCTTATAAGATACCTAAAAACATTCGGTATACAGTGAAATAAACAATAACTCTTAAAAAAATCAATAATTAACTAACGTTGTGTTAAAAATGAGGAAACAATATACGAACATACACAATTTTACCAAGTTTGGTTGAAAACACTCTCAACGGTTTCCAGTCATCTGATTGTTGTTGACAGATGATGCGTGGCGTTCTAATAAATGATAGCAGAGGGCGCTAGTAATACCGGACGCCCGGTGCGTGAAATTTCAAACCAATCCCGGTAACCCGTTGTGCCCCGGTGTCTCCTATATTGCACAGAAATTCCCTGGCCTAAAATTAAAAAGGAAAATATTTTAATAACCCCAAAATGGCAGCTAGTTTTTGTAAAAGCAATGTATAAAATTGAGTCCAATAAATTATTTGTGTCAACAATACAAAACTTTCATGCTAATGCTGAATCACTTAACCAAAAGGACTTGGTTCAACATATGCTATAAATGTCTGAAAATCTTGGTTGTAACATTAGTGTCAAACTTCACTGTTTAGACTCTTTGACAGATCATTTTCCTGAAAATCTCGGCAACTTTAGTGATGAACAAGGAGAAAGTTACCACCGAGAAATTCGTACCATGGAGGAACGATATGAGGGTAGATGGGACGAGCACGTAAAATGATGGTGTATTACTGCTGCTGTTTGAAAATATACCTGATTTGAGCATCTTATTTAAAAAAATTATTAGTAAAATAATGTTTTGCTTCTTTTAAAGATTAAATATTTTTTATGTAATAAGTGTCTTAAGTGTTTTCCTAATAAAAGTATACATATTTCTAAAACTGAACCTAATGGATGAAAATTGTTTTTATTTTCATACTGAGGAACTTAAATACTAATAGAAAATCTACTTTTCCTTTCAAACAAAAAATATTGGTAATTATGTGTAATGACAATCTAATTAATGTTTTATTAGCTGAGGGGTAATAGAAATTCACTTTACAAAAATAAACTTTATTAATCAATAATGGTTGAACAGCTAATCATGAATGTATCAATGCTGGTCTATATTTCTTTTTCTTCATTGTTAAAACTGCGTCTGTCCACTCATCGAAATATTAGAATATCTTGTGTCAGCGAAAGACGCACCGCATCCAAAAATACTACAGGAAGTGTCTAGCAAATATTTATATAATAAATACTGGAAGCTAACAGTTTACTTGCAACCGAGGTTTTCAGGTAGTTATAGATGAGCTGATACTTTAATTTGCATTAAGACTGCCGGAGAATGTAAGGTATTGAACGGCTATTAATTCTCGTATTACATTTCTCGTAAAAAGTTTGTCCTTTTATCATAAACTACTATTACGGAGGTGCAAATAAATTGAAGATAATTAAGATGAAATTTTGAATATTTTTTATTATCTAAACACATTCAAATAAAAATTGTGTATAAATCACGGACCAAAACTGTTTTGTACTCAAATAAACAGCTAAATATCTGATACTTTTGTCCATTTTATCTCGCTACTGCATAAAGCATTTTTTGTTTCTCCTCTTGATAAAAATTAAATAACAATTTCATATATGACATGAAATTTTTGTCATTTATATTAATTATTTCCCAGAAAATAAAGGAAATACAATTTATTTGCAATGATTGATGAATATTTAGCGTAAAATAAAATGAAAACAATATGCTATTTGCTCGTCCAACCAGTATTTCATTTCATAGCGCGATATACTGGTACTGGGACAAATAATAAAAACGTTATATTTTATGTTTTTGTCATTTAAAAAACGGACAGAAAGTACATAAATAAAATATATAAATATCATATATTATGTGTGTATAAATAACGTGTATTTGTACACATGATCAAAGCCCTTCTATATTTTGGTAATCAAAAATTTTCAATTTGTTTGTATTATGCGAGTTGTTTGTTTTATTTTATATTTTGATTTAAAATGCTGATATTCACGTATTTAAGTATGAATGGAGGTCAGAAAATCAATATTTCAAAATAAACAAATACATATTTTTCTTCAATTATCCTTTTCCAGCCTAACATAGATATCAAAAACCCTAAATAGAGCATCGTAAATATGTTTGACCCTTTACATGAGTTAAGGTGACACTACTGAAAAGTACATTTAAATTATTCAAGTGAATTTTAACCCCTGAAGCCGACTGAGCGACTTGTGTAGGGGAAGGGACGGTTATTATTATTATTATTTGACGTGGCGTATCGTGGTAACTTAAAGATGATTGATGGTGCCATTTGACTTACAGGTGAGGAAAACCCTGAAAACCCCACCCACCATCATCGAAACGGTAACGTATGGCAATTTTTATAATCTAGATGTCATATTAACAGAAATTAAATTTATGCTAATACGGAATACATGAAATCCTATAATCATGCAAATAAATTCATATGGTCTTCTGTAGGATTCGAAAATTGCTCGCAAATGAATGCCAGCGCCTTTGACTTTTACTCTTCTGTCCCGACGAAAATAGTAAGGGACATATATGTTTGAATATTATATGTTTAACTAAAATATTCAGATTAGTCAAAATTTTGTTTTAAAATATCGATTAGCTTTAATAATGACTACCTACCTATCTAATGAAAATAAACATGCGCCAATAATGTTAAATTATGACAAATAGTAACAAACGTCAACTTTTCATTAAAATTTAAATGTGCAAAAGCCAATTTTGGATATCGTACAAAAAAAATGTTTCCATCAACAACTATTTCGTCAAAATTGTAAAATGTGGAGATATTGATCGTATTATATCTAAACTTAAATAAATGGTAGAACCGTTGGTTTAAAACTTTTGTATGTTGCGTTAGCGCAACGAAAAGATAACCATAAAGCTCACCTAATTTCTTAACACATGCAGCATATAGCAAACATGCGCATGCACCAGATGGGTTAATTCATCCAGCCAGAAGCTTCAAGTGGCTATTTCGTACCCACTATTTAAGCTACAGCTTCTCTTTACTACGTACCTGCACAGATGCCAATCCGTACCAGCCCAAGATGGTCAGCACAGACGCCTGTCAGGCTAGGAGCTCAAGGACGTACAGCTACCTACACTAGTATGCAAAACACATCCAAAGCTGTAGCCAGACCACCAAATCAGTTCACCATGTGTTGCAACATCAGCGTACCCAGACCAATCACAGGACAACAACTGACAAGTAGCACGGTCGTCCACAAGCTTTGTTGCCAGGTGCTCACGCTCCAGTTCAACAGACAGACACACTCAGGGCCAAGAAACTCTGACTGCCACTATGTTGGCCACTGCTCCCCCACAGGAACAGAAACAGATGTACTCCGATTTAGTAGGTAATATCACTGGTATGTTGTTGCACATGTTGGAACACCAGGAGTCGCACAAGAACAAAGTTGAGAAAGCCGTCGCTGTATTGCAAGCCCATCAAGTCAAATTAAAAAATACTAAATTAAAAATTGCAAACAGTCATATGACAAAAAGGAAAATAAAAATTCTGCTACTTAACAATTCGATTTGCATATTCTTGATTTTTGCAATGTTTTATAAATGTAAGATCAAGAATATTGTAAGACTGACATGTATGTTTTTCAATTTATTTTGCTGTTAGGGAAGCATTAAATTAATTTTTTTCATATTTATGTTGATTTTTTACCTTTACTAATAATAATATTCAATGAGAACACATTTTACTGTATAATATTAAGAATAAAGGAAATTGAGTTTTATGATTTGTGGGATTTTTATTTCATTTATAAGGTTACTTCTTTTATTCTACAGTCGTTTTATATTTCATTGATAAAAAACTTTTTTTTCAGTTCGGTAAAAATGTGTAAATTTGTTTGTTAAACAGAACTAGACACACCAATAAGGTTTGCTAAACTTTTATTCCTATTTTCAACTTAGAAATTATTCATCTCTCTCACAACCAATAACAAAGTAGAAATTGTCGGTGTTTCATCGATTAAACTAAAAATAGTGTAATAAACACATAGTCTGGTTATGTCGGCCATAGCGGTCATAGCGATATTAAAAATTTCTGGAAAAATGGTCTATTATGTGTAGTTTGATCAAAATTCTTACACATATTACTGAGGCCCTTCCTATGGGGCCTCAGTATTGCATTCGTGCAAACGGAAAAATTTTCTTACCCCCATTTTTTAAAACTTTTTTTTCATGTTTCCGATCATTCTGAGTAAGAAAATGCAAAAAAAAATTTCGTCTGGTCCTCTGTGTGTATGTATGCTGGCACAATAACTCTAGAATGAAAGTTCTGATTGACTTACGGTATTGATTTTCTTGAATAATTACTTCTAACTTAGAAGCCTATTGATTTTCAGAATTTTCGGTTCATCCTAACTACTTAAATATCAATTTTCTTAAAATTCGCCTATGCAATACTTATGTGACAATTTTAGGAATTCCAATTATTTCTAACGTCAACATTCCTAACATTCTCAACATTCCATAAATTGCAAACATTCTCTAAAGACCTGTCAAACAACAGCTGTTGATAGTAAAGGTGAAATTTCTAAGGCGGGTTGCGACCTTTATACTTGCAACCATAGCCATTTTGAAGGCTATTTTTATTCAAAATTAGTCGCCAAACCTGCCAATTTATGAAAAATGTATAAGCAGTTTTTTGAAAATGACTTTTTTATGGTGGTGCTAACTTAAGCGTACTACTATTTCGCCCCTAGCCACAAAAACACCTTCATCAAATTTACTGGCTCTCTGTCGGAACGCCACAGAATAATTAACCGGCTATTTTATTTGGCAAAAAATAGAATAATGCTTGACTGTGCCTATCAAGTATCAAGATGTCAACTGTGATATGTGAGTGGCTCTTAAATGTCAAATTATTTAAAAATGTATGCTTCTTTTGATATTTATTGCAAATAATTTGTAGTGTATCTCAATTCAGGCTTTCCATAAACAAAATTACAGCAAGACAAATAATATATTGTTCTTATACAAAGCACTTTTTTATTATATAAAAGAGTTAGGATATAGTGCTGTTTTTTTGTAGATAATTTTAATTATACAGTTTTGGATTCAATCAGCGAATTGTAAATAATAATTAGCAAACTCCCAGAAATTTTCTCAATCCATAAAATTTAAAAATTAATCTTTTTACCTTGGGATTTTAATGACGTAATGTGATCAAACCATTTCAAATTTTGATCAATCATGATATCGAGGTATTTTGTTGTTTTTAATTTTAATTATAAAGTTGTCATTTATGTATATGTTGAAAGAAAGCCTTTGTAAATTACATTGCTCTCTATGGATCTACATTTACACAAAAATAGTTTTGTGGCTATAAGTTGCTATAACCTATCGTCGCAAAACTATTAATAATTTAAACATAGTGAGTAGTAAAACAAGGTAAAACGAGGGATAAAGTAACAATAAATTAAGGAAAATACTTAAAAAGGGCAGGTTTAAAGAGTATTATCACAAGAAAATATATCCGTTCTGTTTATTTATCAAGTATTGTTTATTTACGGTTTTTTTTTTTAATTTCTGTAGGCAGTCTATTAAATTTTTTAAACCTTTAATAAAAATTGTATTTTGAGTACTATTAGTGATGGCTTGCCGTACATGAAAGTCAGATTGGCTTGTTGTATTATAGTTGTGATATTGTGAATTATATTGATTTTTTTCTAATAGATCTGATGCGATGGATTTATGTCATTTTTATTTTATAAATACATATCAGTCATGCATTGAACATAATTCAGAACTGAAAGCCAATTTATTTCTTTTAACATAGTTGCAATACTCACCCTTCTGTCCTTTATTAATAGAGTATAAATACGCGAAGTAAGGAGCCCAAATATTTTACATGAGCAGGCCTAAGAGGTAAAGGGGCCAATTATTATTGGATAAATTGCTCGAACAAGTTTTTAAACCCAAATTAAAAATCAAGGCTTTTTCAAACGTGTCGAGAAAAGTCGTTTATTGGAAAGAAAACATAAGCGAAAAGAAGCACTTTTTTTATAAACTTCAAATAAACTGATAAAAACACTTTTTTCTATGCCAATGTCAGTAAACGTTTTAAATCAAGATTCCTTGTAAATGACATTTAACAACATGCACGTAATGAGATCTTATAACACATACGTGAGTTTTGATAATAAAACTTAAATTTCTTAGTTTAATCAAATTGCAATTAAATTTTTGTCTACATACGACTTTAATTGGTCTATTTACTTTAATTTAGTCAATTAAAAACATAAAAACTTTTAGCATTAGCGAGATACATTGAGGATTAAAAAAGTGATGCCCCTAAATGTCGGCAACATATTATAGAATTTTTCAAATAATACCTAAGTCGCGTTTTCTTAGCATGCTATGGAAATAAACGTCTTGCCATTTATATTGTCAATTATTGGAACAAAATATTATTGTAATCGGACATTTCCTCGACTTTACCTACGAATATGTCTCTTAGTAGTGAAATTGATGAAATTATGAGCACTCCAACGGAGATTTTAAAAAAAGTTTAAGCTACCCCACATAATTTGTTACCGCTAAAATCCAAAGAAAGGTACGAAATTACCTATCAAAAATTTATGAATTGGCGGGCTTTATTTAATAGAAATAGAAAAAATAATTGGGCGTAGAAAAAGCATAGTACCTTACACGAGTTTTAAGCCCATTACGCAATCGTAAAATTTTTCACTTCGGCGTATTGGGTTATTTACAACTCTTGTTACGTAAAAATCAAGTGGCTACGATTTCTAAATATTCCATTTCCATTTTTAGTTTACTTGATAATTTTTTCGATTGCGAAATAGTAATCCATAATCTACATGGACATCAAATTAATTTATTTCTGAGGTTATGAATGGGGAAAAGTACTTAAATACCACGCCGTTAAAATGTTAAATATTACGATATATCTGCAGTCGACAAAAATGAGAATATGTAATGGGAATGGGAAGTCCTCAAATAGTACTATTCGTTACAAACCGTATTTATACCACGTGAGTAGTAATCTAATCAACAAAATAGGCTTTCGTAGCTATAAAAATCTAAGAAATATCTCTTATCGTGCATAAGAATTGTCCACTATAATTTACATTCAGATTACGGGATTAATGCATAAATATTCGTAAAAGGAACTAAATTTACGCTGCCGGTTTGAGGTTAGGTCGGTACCTCGAGGTAGATGGAGGCCTTTAATGAAAAGGAATGATCTCACTTGTGATCTAGATCGCCAGACGTCCTGTGTAGCTTGGTATACTTTAGGTCCAAAAGAAGGTCTCACAAGGTTAAGCAGTAAATAATCATCAACTAGTAGGAGGTTGGTCTTGGAATAATCAGTCTCGATGTAACCCTTCTGTCTTGCATACAGATTCCGAACTGGTACCAGCAAGTGTAGTATGAGGTATGGTATTAAAGATATGGCTTAAAGAAGAAAAGTTGTAAAAAGTGACTAAAAAAGTTCCCAGATACTTGAAGGAAGGTCTGAAAGAAGGATTTGCATAAACCACACAGTAAAGGGACACGAACAAAACTGGCATGTACAATGGGGAACTCATGTGTCGACTATGTCACAAGAAACCAGAAACGGCCAAACATATACTGTGCTAATGCGCAAAAGACAGGCTCTTTTTGGACAACCCCAGGTTGATCCAAGAAAGTATAGAACCCACTCACCCGAGGATGTGTACAAACTTGTACAAGGTACAAAGGTGACAGAGTGGGTGCTATGAACTAACATGGGGTAAAACACAATAAGCCAATAGGCTTTAGTGTTATTCGGAGACATAGTCAGACGAGCCCAGGAGAAAAAAAAGCCACACATATAAATAGCCTTTTAAACTATAGATAAGCCAAGAAAGTTGTCTTATTTAAATTTTGGGACTCACCTGGAGCTGTCGGACGACCTTTTTAGTTGTAAATTATATCAAAATATATTTAAACCCACCAAAAAGGTGTTTTAAATCTCATCGATTTATTTGGTATATTATTGATTCGGTTAACAGTTTCAGCTCAACGTTCAGATCCTAGAATTACTAGAACATATGGCACAGGTTACCACAAAGCTAAGCTTATCAAAACTGATCAAATAAAGTTCCTCAAAATGGTAGAAAATCCATATGTCAATGGAAGGTCTTGAATAGTAAAGGTTAGCAGGACAAAATCTGGAAAGAGTGTGACCCTACTTGTTAAAATAAGAATTTGACACTTGTGGATGTCATAAAGTAAATGTAAACAAATAATAAAAGCTGGAAAAGTTGGTCTGCCTGCGACTTCTGTTTCCCTGGGGTCGGCAGGCTCAATTCTGTTGTTCTAGTCAGACACCTTCTTAATTTCAATAATTTTATACCAAAATGTTTTTTTACCTTCACTTAATGTATATTTTATAATTCTACCTAATTATTGTAACGTATGGTTATTTTTTAAAAATAATTTAAAATTTAAAATTCCCTCCATAACTTGTGCTTGCTACTTCAGTGGTTCCAACCCACTTTTATCTTTTTAAATATTAACTTTTGATCAATTTTCATGAAATTTATTTGTATTTCTCAAGTTGGCAATTGTTTTGACAACTTCATTGTCA